AACTATACTCCCACTAGCTTTGACATATACACATGACTCATCCTCACTCCTAGAGAAACCAAACTCTTTGACTTTCTCATCGAAACAAAGATTCCATTTGCGAGAAGCTTATTTCAATCCATAGATTGATTTCTTAAGATTACACACTCTATTGGGGGTATTTAGAATCTGCAAAAACCTTTTTGATATGAAGGCGTACAAGTATTTTCCATACTTAAAGTAATTTCAATGAGCTAAATCGACATAACTCGCTAATTTAAAGTTAGAACCCATAAATCTTATGATTTCTTAATACCACATGTGAGCTATCATAACCATACTAGACTTAGATGGCCTCGTAATGCGATGTTCTTCAGGCGTCGCCGTTAAATGACACTTGTCACCACAGACCTGCCGGTCTAGCTGTTTCAAGCAGCTCAGGTGTGGGTTTGTCAAACCCAATATAGATCTATACACAACTATCACGTTCTCCCTACAAGAGACTCTAGTTACAATTTACAGGACTTTTTGAATTGGTTACTTTGGAAGTAACCCGAAGCGAATGACTCACATATTTATTCATTAACAGATTTACGTGAACTAAACGGAAAACCTTTGGTAAATAAGTTTGAGAAGTAAATGATACATAAAATATGCCTATTATAGTTACTAGTAATGTACGAGTGTACTCGGAAGTATACCTTTGCTACCCAAAGGTACCGAATTGACTGATGGAAAATTTATGACTATATATGTATACATGATATATCACTGATATTTAGACGACCTTCGGAAGGATAACCGATACCCATCAAACCACATCCCAACGAGGAAAAGGAAACAAGGCAAGCTAGCCGTCTTGAGAGAACCCTAGCCTTCTAGTGGTCATTCTTGAGTTTTTAAGAGTGTTCTTGTGCCTTTAAGAAGAAGTTTGTGCATCAAGGTGCCAAGGAGGGAAGAGTTAGCTTGTAGATCTTGGATCATCATATGTTTTGGGAACTCCAGAAGGTATAAAGTTATTACCTTTGAGCCTTTTTCTTCTAGATCTATTCTTAGAAGTTTATTTTCCCTCTTTTGTCCCATGAAGTCACATTTCTATGCATGGTTCGTCTTGGACAATTTGATCTGTACTTTTAGACTCTAGAATGGGTCCCAAGCAGTGTTGTAAAACTCACCGAGTTGGCCGAGTACTCCTCTGAGTACTCACTACTCGGCCCCTTACCGAGGTGACTTACAAAATCCTGAGTACTCCGCGATCGACCCCTTACTGACCTGAGCAGTGTTCTAAAACTCTATCAACTTGGTGATTGATATGTATAATATATTTAATAAGTTATTATTTAACACACACACATGTGATTATTACTACATATATATCTTAATTTTTCAGTAATTATTCACAAGTGAGACCATTATGTGTTTTTTAATTTTTGTGTATTCAAATATATCTAATTTTGTTATATATTTCAATCAACTTATGATTTTAACATATGATTTTGACATATGTAATTTACCTAAAAGTATTTCTACATGAATTACCAAATCTGAGTACTCACCGAGTACTCGCTACTCAATAGTCGGTCGAGCAGGTACCGAGTAACGAGTTCTGCAACCTTGGTCCCAAGGCATAAAAATGAAGTCCCTTGGGCTAGTTGGGTCCCTAGTTCTTGGCAGGAGGTCTTAATGAATCAAGACCATGTATTTATCCCTTTTCAGTCGACCAAAGTCTTAAAGTTTGAGACTTTATGGTCCTAGAGCACTTTTGAGCAGTAGATCTCAACTTTAAGCTTAAGAGCTTAACCCATTAAGCATGTGTAAAGTTTTAAGATCTGTGAGGTTATGCCCCGCATAAATCCAGTACGCCCAGCATACTGGGTCAACCACCCCGATGGTGGTCAACCTCAGGAGGGTCCGCCCAACATACCAGAGGAGTACCCCCGCGTACTTTCTCTGATTGGGCTTATGTTATTTGGGCTGGTTATGGACTAGTTGGACTTGGGCCTTTGTTGGACTTTATGGATTTGGTGTTTTGGGAAAGTCTTGATAATGGATCTTGGAATTAGGCCCAATTAGGGAGTTGGGCCCAATTTGGTAAATTGGGCCAAGAATGGGCCTTACGTATGTGGCCTTATGGATCATGGATTCGGTATTGGGCCTTGACCCAAAATAGAGAAAAAGACAAAACGGACTATATGGACCCCGTAGTTAGAATTGATAGCCTATATGTTGACTCAACATTTGTTATTCTGGATATTTCAGGATTTTTGGTGAAATAGCATTTCGGGAGTTGATACTTCAGTTTAGACCGACACTGCGAGGTGAGTTATCCTCACTATATCAACGAGGTCTAAGGTACAAAGGCCGACCCTCTATATATTTGTATCTAGTCTATGGCATGATATGTTTATTGATTACATCCTGGTAGTTAGGATGATGTTATGTTATGTTAGTGACCTGGTTTAGGTCGGTGTCATGGTATATAGGATAATGCTATGTTAGTGACCGGTTAGGTCGGTATCCTAGTTAGGATGTTGCTACGCTATATGATCTGCTAGATCGGTTTAGTTTTCTATGGACTGTTATGTGATTATCTGTTATATGTTCACATGGTTGTTTGATTGGGGTTTGGGTTGAGGCGGGTCCTGCTTTGTGCTGTAGGCCAACATATCCAGGGCGGACTAGATAGACTGTAGACCGGGGAGGGCACATAGTTAGGCCGAAGGCCTGACGAGCGGTCTGGATAGGCTGAAGTCCCTGAGAGTGCGGTCCAGACGTGCCGAGGCTCGGAGAGTGGGCCAGATAGACTGAAGACCCAATGCAGGCGGTCTAGTCATACTGTAGACTCAGAGAGTGAACCAGGTGGATTGAAGGCCCGGTACTGGCGGACCAGTCACAATGTAGACTCGAGATGCATGGCTGTTCTGTATTTGTTGATATGATATGGTTATGATTGTATGTCGTTGGTATTTTGGGGGAAAAACATTAAGCTTCGGGATTACAGTTGTTGATTTTGTTTCAAGTACTTCCGAGGATCGTGGGAAGGCGAAGGCGTGACCATACACTTCCTCATAGTTTGATTTGGATTTCTGGTATACTCTAATATGAACTATTTTGGAAACCTTGTTGTAATAACTTTGAGTATTCGAAATGTTTTAAAAGTTTAAATTTGGCATGAATTTTATGGTCATTACAAGTTGATATCAGAGCCTTGGTCTGAGTGAATTGGAGGAACACTTGTGTGAGTCCAATCTCAAATCAAGGAAAATATTTTCAAATGATCTTTAATATAATAAAAGAGGATGCAAGAGTACAATCAGCCGGAGCCAGTATGTAGATCCCAAAATACCATACAAGTTACTGATATTATGTGATATGTTAGAACAACATGCTAGTACTAAGATAGGGATCTTCAGGAATCGTATGATAGAATTGCCTGATATTTGATGCCTTAACTTATGTAGAGTACCTTATTTATTGTTTGTGACTCTTTTGTGTGTGAACTAACTACTGTATAAATACTTCAAGTCACATGCTACTGGGTTAAATGGTCTTAAGGTGAGGGATTTGATCCTATTGCGCAGCTCTTGTTTGAGTCCAACCGTTGTGGGATTAAATCTTTTAGCTTAAGATTGCTCATGTCATGTGACATGTGATTGTATTCATGCAATAGTTAACTGGCACCAATGGAGGGTCGTGTGACAATTGGTGGTAGTGTGGGTTGTGAGAGGCCGGGAGGCCAGAAACGATACATTTAGCATTCCTATAGGAGCGAGGATTGAGCGCTCGCTATGTTTATGTATACTTTTAGGGCGTTGTGATGATACTTGAGACAAATATGGGTAGGTGTGGAAGGTAGTATGGGCCCATACTACTGAAAGCACATGACCCATACGCGTAGCAAGGAAGTCACAACTCCTACGGTTTTTGGTTGGGAGTTGGGTCCTAGATTGTTATGAGGAGTATCTGATATTTTTTTCGGCATGTTTTTCATCATGGTGGTTACACGATGATTCGTAACTGGATCCAGATTAGGATCAGGAGAGAGCAGATAGGAGGCGCTGATAGCGCCCGAGACTATCGGCCATATGAGGCCAGCTAAGATGGATGACAGGATCCGGGAGATTGTGCAAGATAAGGTTGCTGCTATGTCACTACAAGAAAAAGCCGATATAGCCACGGAAAAATTCCGTAGCTAAAACATGATATTCCATAGTTAAACATGATTAGCGACGGAATTTGCTACAGAACAATTCCGTAGTTAAATTCTTCGTTAGTAAACTTTCGTTACGGAATTCGTAGCACCTTTGCAACGGAAGTTGCAGCGGACTTTTTCCGTAGTAAAATAGTTACGGACTACATCCGTAGAAACATCGTAACAAATTAACTACAGTTTTATCCGTAGCAAGTCCATAGCGAATTAACTACGCTCCGATCCATAGTAAATTTGTCGCAAGTTAACTACAAACTAACTTCGTAGCTAGTTTCCGTAGCAAAAATCCACTATGGTTAATGGCGTAGCTAATACCCCATAGTAAATTTAGTACGACCTAATTCCGTAGCAATTATTTTGTAGTAAATGCACTACGCTCTACTTCCATAGTAAATATCTTGTAGTAACTTTACTACAACACACCTCTCTTAGAAATGTTTTATAGTAAATTTACCATAGTCTACCTCCATTTCAAAACTAAATGTGACGGAATATATTTTGTAACAAAATCCATAACAACTCCACAAAAAGATACACAGTAACTCCGTAAAAATAACAATAGAAAAAATTTATGACATGATTAATTCTGTATCAAAATGCATACAAAATGACTAAAAAAATTCTGAAGCAAATTTATAATAAAATCAACATTACAAAATTGCAATAAGAAATAATACAAATTACATTAGTTCTTAAATGAAAAGAAATAGTTTATCATCGAATGAAATACTACCTTGTCCAAAACACCAATAAAACTAGTCTAGTAGCCAAACTCAACTAGAAATCCTAAATATGCAATAAAAAAAAATTCTCACTGGTTATTTGTGCTTCTTATATCATTTATCATGTTTCTCACATCATTCAACTCCATCCTTTGTTGCTCTATGGTTACCTCTAGTTTTTGAATCTTGGTCTCAATATGATGTTTTTCAGAAGTTGTATCCGGTGAAGTGCATGTTTGAGAAGAAATTTCAGGCAAAATGGACCTGCCATATGATCCAAGCTCATAAATTCTTCTCTTACGGTCATGTCCTCCAACAACTGTATAAAATAGTTCACTTTCATCAACTTCCTCTCCCAGCAGTGCCAAATCCGCACGTCGTGACACAAACAAATCCTACAATATTATTGTTGCATTAATATATGGTAAGATTTTTTAAGTTCTGATTATCAAATAAATTAAAATTAAGCTTACATGAACTTCTTTAGCTTTGTCAACTTGAAACGTCTTTCCATCATGATCCTTAGTATGAGTAAACATGAATACATCATAGCATGATGGAGCTTGTCCCGTATATTCCTCCTATGTTAATACAATACGTATGCCAAATCTCACCACAAGATGTATTGAAAGAAATATATTATATGACTATTAAAAACCCTTACCATGTCGGCTGCAACTTGTTGATGTGAAGTCGATCCGCCATTATGAGTAAGTGGGGCTTTTCCACCTAGTACATCTTTACGCCTATTTTTTTTTTTTATTTTGCTCCGATTTTTTCTTGAACTCCTCCAAATTCCATATTGCATTCCTTGAATTCCACACTTGTTGTTCTATGTGGCATGGCTTTTCACAAGTTGGATTTCTTGTGCTGATGTCATAGATATACTGTCGATATCTTTCTTTGGCTTTCTGTTCCCAAGCAGCCTTGACTACTTAGTCACCAACTACAACATCTCACTGACATTTTTTCTACAATACATAACAACAATGGAGTTATAATAACCGAACTATATGACTAAAAATTAAATAAAATCAATATAACAAATCATGTACCTGAAACTCTTCCCCATAAAATTGTTTTATCTCTTCGCTTATTGTACCCTCTTATATCCATTTTCATCCACTTTATCTAGGAATGATTTCTTAATTATGGTTGAACATTTACCTGAAGGTAATAACCTATATAAAAAAAATAGCATACTAGTATGAACAAATCAAACTTAAACAAAAAAAGATGAAAATCAGTTAGTATGGTAACTTACGCATTCTCTCGAACTTTAATATGTATGCGGCCATCTTGTTGTTCGGTAGCAATTGGTGACGATGGGGTTTCTATAGAGGAAGGGGTAGAAGATGGGGGTTGTGTGGATTATGGGGCTGATACAGTACCAAACAGTGGGGGAGTAGATGGTGTATGTGTGGATGTAGCGGTAGTTGTTAGGATTGTTGTGGAGGCAGGGGCAGTCGATGGGGCTGGTGTGGATGAAGGGATGGATTATGGGGTTGATACACTTCCAAATGGTGGAGTGGTAGATGTTGTCGGTGTGGATGTAGGGGTAACCAAAGGGGATATCACAGTCCCAGATGGTGTAGATGCTTCATTAGCATGCCTTTGTAACAGACGATGTATGTTCTTGCGTGGCCTTGCTGGAGCTCCTTTTAATGGGAATGGAGATATCTTTTTTGTAATATAGCAAGTGCATTCATAATAAAAAGTTATAAGTTTGAAATATATTCATTAATAATAAAAACTCTTGCATGAAATTAAAAGAACATGGTACCAATAAAATTCATAATCAGATTTAGTTTACATATTCAGTTTATTTACACGAATGCATAGGGTCCTAAGGTTGCTATTGAACTAATCAGATTATAAGCATCATTCAATTACATTTTCACGATTATAAACATATAAGAGTGACAAACCCACAAAGGGGTGACAACTTGCACATTGTTACCAAAAAGGAGCTAACTGATATTACAACCCCTGCCAAGCGTATAAGATGATAGAAAAAGGAAGGGCAAGATCGATCAATATTGTTATTAAGAAATACAGGTGTACCCATAAAAGAACATACGTAAGGAATCATATAATATGATCTAGGGAAAAACAAAACAGAAGAAAAACGATGTTAAAATTCGTTATGGTCTTTTTTAACATTTGAAAGTCGATGGTTGATATTGTTTAAAAAAAAAAACCATGTGGTTGTAAATAAAGGTCTAAAGGATTTTGGTCCATTGCTTACTTTTGTTTTTGATAGCTAAAGAAGATGATCAGTGAAGAATATAAAAGCGGAAAAAAAACATACCTGCTATCACAAGGCCTGGAAGCACCGAATAGTGGAAGCAGAGGAAACACAACAAAGTACGTATAGATGAATAGTGAAATTATCTTTCGTATGGGCAAGTTATACCTAAGTAATGGGGGAGCGGTTTTGACGGGAGTGGATATAGGGAATTCTGTTTTCCCGGGAGTGGGATACGGAAATACTTTTTTTTTTTAATATTTTGGAAGATTTGTTTTGCCGGGTTTTGAGATAGGAAATTCAAAACTATATATTATTTTTTCACTAATGTACAATAAAAGATAGAAGATATATAAGGGACAAAAGTAATTTACGTGGGCTAGATATACATGGAAAGGATTTCACATATATAAGGAATATGTCAACTGGTCAAATCTTAGGTGTAGGGTAATTTCGTCCATTTTGGAAAATAAAATATTATTGTGGGATAGTTGACTTTTATTGGAGTAGTTGCATTTTTCTTGTTTTGGGAGATTGGAAATATGATATACTGGGATTGATAAAGGCAGGAAATGGAATTTTATGTTTCAGGTTCTCTTTAATCAACTTACAAGGACTTTTGAAGCAGGGGCAATTCAGTCAAAATATGAATGGAAAAAATGTTTTTTGTCTGTTTATATCATGTTCCTTTCTTGTTCTGTTAATGAAGAAATAAGAAATAACTATGGGTATTTTGTTAATGTTTGTATTAACAGATTAGATCGAGTCAAAAATGGGTTTTATACCAATTTCATTTGGGATTTAATGGACTATAGGGCAATTTTGGAATTTTCTGCACTGGTGGATTTTCGAGTTCTATATTGTTGATTTTTGCAAATCTTTATTGTTGGTTGAGATTAAAAAAAATTGTTTGTTATAATCAGGTTTCAAAAGAAAATTGATAAACATTATTAACAAAAAGTAAAAAAATGTATATATATTTAAATAATATGTAAAAATAGTTAAAAACAACTGAAAGTTTTTGAAAAATATAAAATTTTGAAATTATACCTATTCATGAATGTCATAATCAGATTAATCTTGGGTTTTCTTTAATCAACTTCCATTCCATCGCATTTTGAAGCAGGGGCAATTCGGTCAAAAAATGAATGGAAAAAATGATTGTGTTTGTTTATATTATGTTCCTTACTTCTTCTATTAATGAAGAAATAAGAAATAACTATGGGTATTTTGTTAATGTTTGTATTAGCTCCAAGTATTTTATTATGTGAGATATTAAAAATGGTGTATCATAATATCAAAAAACAGGATCTGGATTTGAGGTTTTGACTAAAGGGTATTTGGGCTATAAGTTGGATGGTGTTGTTCTTTATGTTTATTTGTAGCTCAAGGGGGATTTTTTGATCTAATTATCTCTCCTGTTTACTGCACCAATCAGTCAAAAATGGGTTTTATACCAATTTCATTTGGGATTTAATGGACTAGGGGCAATTTGGACAAAATTTCAAAAGGAAAAGCTTATTGGTATGTTGTTATTCGTATTCCTGGATCATGAATGATAATAAGAAGAGAAGGATCTTTAAAATGCTGTTGATTGGGTTGAGTTGGAATTTAAATGCTGGTGTAATTCTTTGTTTAAGACTACAGGGCAATTTTTGAATTTTCTGCACTGATGGATTTTCGAGTTCTATATTGGTGATTTTTTTGGTTACTTTAAAAGGAATTAATGGGAATTCGTTTGGTAATTTCCCTTTTAAAATTACTAAGCATTTATGTGTTATCATGATTTTTTTTAAGGATTTAGCTTTTGAAGTGATTTTTGTCAATCCAAAAATTATTTTCGAAAATGTTCATCAAATTTAACGATATGCATCAATTGTGAACTAAAAAGAGCTATAAGGAAATAGAAAGGGCAAATATGTAAAAAGTTAAGGTTTAAATACAATAATCAATATTTCTGACTTAACATGCTAAGTCATTTTACAATAAACCTACTGAACAAAAACGGCCAAATAAGATTTAGATTTGTTAAAATCTTATTATTATTATTATTATTATTATTATTATTATTATTATAATAGTCACATGTCCACTATTAAGGTTTAAAAACATTATTATTATTATTATTATTATTATTATTATTATTATTATTATTATTATTATCAGTATTATTGTTATTATATATTATTTAAATTGTAAACAAAATTATATTTGTATAGCAATTTCCAATTTAGTTTAAGCAAAATTCAATTCAAATTTAGGTCTGGGGCGTGGGTGTATCAGATCTAGGTGAACTGGATATTTTACCCGGAATTGAGTAAAATAATTGAACTTGTTAATCGGGTCAGAACCAGGTTTAAGAAAGACCCGAAATTGATAGAGTTTTTGTTATGGTACACTCAATCAACCTATTAGCCATCAGATACCCACAAAACATATCTCAAAGAAATCTTCACTATGATCAACAAATATGACTTTTTGTTCCTAAAAACCAATACACTGCCATTAATTCAACATAAGATTTTTAGAAACTAGAATAAGAACATGGATTGAAGTAAAAAGATAGTAAATCATCAGCCTCTTATGAACAAACCCATAATCGGTTCTAATTACCTATTTTCAGTTCCAACTGGTTCCATACCCACTTTACCCTGTCCGATACCCAAAACAGAACCAGAAGAGGCTCCCCTATACTCGTCCGATTTCAGGATTTTTTAGGTCCTATCTCAATCAGGTCGGGTTCGGATCCAGTTTCATCCCTACAAACGATAGTTGGTTTAAAATACATCATTTCATGTTAGTCGACATCAGGTCATTTGATCATCCGTGATCGTTTAATGGGTTCGTACTTTTTTAGAATACCTCAAACACTTAAAAACTTTATTGGAAAATTTAGTACAATAATAGTTATGGGTTTTTATGTAATATTGAATAAGTAAAATTTTGATTATGTAGCAAACATTGTATCAAGTTGGGTACAAACATTGATCTATAGAAAAGTTCATAGAAAACTAGCTATGGATTTTGATTCTGTAGCAAATTTGTAGCTAGATAACTATGGGTTTCAGTTCTGTAGCAATTATGTAGTAAATTAGCTATGGATTATGATTCCGTAGCAAATTCTGTAGCAAAATAACTACAGACTATCACTCGTAGTAACTTCTGTAGCGAAATAACTACATGTTGTGATTTCGTAGCAAATTTTGTTACAATATACCTACGACTTCTGATTTTGTAGCAAAATTCTATAGTTATTCAAATATTACCTACGGAATGCAATTTTGTAGCAAATTTTGTAGCAAAATTAATACGGATAGCCATTTCGTAGCATATCCCATAGAAAAATAGCTACAGATTATACTTCCGTAGAAGATTTCCGTAGTTATTTAGCATTTTTCTAGTAGTGTGTTTCGGGATCAGTTGCCGGAGATGTTTGGGTCTATGAAGACCGCTAGGGTAAAGTATTTCAATGATCACTATGTAGCCCTCACTGAGGCGGCTGCCGCCGCGGCCACATCATCTGTATCAGCGGCAGGGTTGGGAGCCAGTTGAGGCTTCCA